CCCATGTTTGGTCTGGTAACACTCTCTCTGCCTCCCTAAACCTCTCCATTCCCATCTTTGAATCTCAAGTCATTAGGTCATATTTCTAGCTCTCTTTTGTTACAGTCATCTACCAACCACCTCTCTGTCCTTCCACCACCACAATCACTTCTTCTCATTCCTTGATGATTTTTAGCTCCCTGCACACTGTCACTCTCTAAACTAGTCCTGTCTTAATTCTTGATGATTTCAACGTACACGTACATGATCCCTCTCCTACCCTGGCTTCTCAGTTCCCTGACCTCCTCTTCAGTGATCTTGTCCTGCACCCCACTTCAGCCATACACGTGCGTGATCTCATACTAGTTGAGTGTGATTTCTATAACTGCACCTCCTCCATTATCCTAATTCCAAACATCCCGCTTTCTGACCATCACCTCCTATCCCACTAGCTCACTCACTCTCAAATCCCAGCTGAATGATCCTTTAACCCAACTGGGACATTCAGTCCCCTCATCCGACCATTCGTTCATTGTCCCTTGTACACCGTGGCCTGCATGCTTGCACTCCATCCTTAGCCATCATTTTAATTATTTCTTTGCATAAACCCTCAATTCTCTTGCTTTTCTCTTGCTTCTTCATACTTGTTTGGCAAAAAAACCCAACTATGATTAAATCTATCTTTGTACCTTCTCTCTGTCTGCACCTGTGTGGCTAAATGTTGCTCAAGAAAAATATGCAACTCTGTTGCTGGATCTCACTTTAAATTCATGATCACTAACTTCAGGTGGGTCCTCAATGCTGTTGGCAGTGATTATCTCTTTCCTTTGCCCATTCCCTTTCCCACACTCCTAAAGGACCACTTCAGAACTTCCCCTTTTCCTAAAATCTCCAACCACTCTGCCCCACCCTGACTCTCAGCAGACGACTTGAAAAAATAGAAGCCATCAGAGAACTTCCTCAAGTTCTCTGCTCTATATCTGCCCATCTACCACCACTGGTGCCCACACTTAGCCTCCTGTTACTATGGATGAACTCTTCACTAAGGCCAACTCCTCCACTTGTGAACTGTATCCCATACTCTCACCTACCTAAGAACACGTCTCCAGCAAGTCTCCTTTCACTCTCCTGCTTCATCAAATTTTCACTCTACTTGATCATTCCCACCAGCATTGGATGTTTTTTCCATCTTAAATAAACAACACTCTTAACCCCACTTCCTCCTTTAGCTCTGCCCTACCTCTCTGCTCTCCTTCACTACAAAACCTCTTGAAAGAGTTGTCTGTACCTCCTGTTGTTGGAGAGGAAAAACTTTTCCTCTACCCTCTTATGTTTAGTACCTAGGGGCCTGTGAATTAAACTTGACAAAAGACAGATTAACAGGAAAAATTATTTGTATCATATGGAAGTTTAAAAAAGAATTGTAAATATTGATAAATGGTTAAAGTTAGAGGTTTATATACTTAACTTAGTAGAGAAAAAGAAGTGGGTAGAAAAGGCCTTTTGGAAAGAGCAAATAGGTTTCTAGAAGAACAAATGGGAGATAAGAAAGTTTGTGATAATGTTCCTTCATGCAGGTGCAAGTGGTCCTTCCGTCTGTCCTCTTCATGGTCCTAAACTTCCCCTGGAGAGGGAATTTACGGTAGGTTTACTCTTGGTCTCCTTCCTGGTGATAAAAGCCACCCCAAAGAGGGAATTTATGGCAGCCTCACATCCTAGAAGTTTCTGCTTTTAGTCAGATAAGGGAAGCTCCAAGAAGGATTCTTTTCGCTTCTGTTGAATCCCAAATGGCTTCAGCTTAAATTAATCTTCATACCAACTCTGGGGTTCTGAATGGGTCCCAACATTGTCTCCAATCCCTGTCTCCCCATTCTTTCTTGAATCCTCTTCAATCATCCCACCATTCCACAACAATGGCTTTTGTCAAAGTTACCAAATACCCTCCACATTGCTAGAGCTAATGGCTGCTCTCGGTCCTCACTGTTCTTCCCTTCTAGCTGCATCTGACACTCCCTCTATCCTCAACACATTTCATTCACCTGGTTTTCTGGATGCCAAGTCTCTGTTTTCCTCCTTCCTCTCTGGTATCTTCTCAGACTCCTTTGCTGGCTCACCCTCATCTCCCCTCCTCTTTTTATTGCAGCATTCAGTCTTCTGGCCATTTGATTCTCTACGTACAATCACACCTTGGTGCCATATATTAATACCATACAAACCCTGACGACTCCCAAATTTATATTTCCTGACCTTATTTAATTAATAAATTCAAGTGTCTTTTCATCCACAAGAATGTCTTACTGGCATTTCAAACTTACATGTTGCTACAGTCTGAATGTTTGTGTCCTTTCAACATTTCACATGTTGCAATCCTAATGCCCATTGTGATGGTATTAGGAAGTGGGTCCTTTGGGAGATGCTTAGGTCACAAGAGTGGAGTCCTCAGGAACAGGATTAGTGCTGTCAATGCAAATAATCCATAATAAATCTATAAGTCAAAATTGGAGTGAGTTTATTATGAGCCAAATTTGAGGAGCATACAGCCTGGGGCCTTCCTTCCCCAAGGAAGGAAGCACACCAAAGAAGTGGGGTGTACAGAGTGGTTATATACCATCAAAGAGCATGTATCACATATGATTGCAATGTCCCTTTTACAATAGTCACGAGATTGCCCTGTCAGGTTGCCCTGTTGGCACAGTAATTGATGGACACAGCAGGTAGCAGGTCTGTTGTCTCCAGTTGGCTGGTCACAGGATGAGTACAGCAATCAAATCCTAGCCTAGGGAGAAATGCTTATCCTTAAGGATATGCCAATGTGGGGGAAGCTGCATCCTTATCTTAAGGGCATTTGTTTTTGTCTTTGGGACATGTTAATGGCTTAAAGCAGATATACAATGCATGTTCAAAGGTCACAGGCCCTTTTGAAAAAACAAGCTCAGGCTGAATTAGTTTTACACCAAATGGCTTCCTCATATGCTCCACTATATCCCATTGCTTGCCATTTATTTATCAGTGCCCTTATGAAACAGACCCCACAGAGCTCCCTAGCCCCTTCCACCATGTGAGAACAAAACGAGACGTCTGGGATCCAGAAGAAGGCCTTCACCCAGCCATGCTGGCACCTTGATCTTGGACTTCTAGCCTCCAGAACTGTGAGAAATAAATTTCTGTTGTTTATAAGCCACCCAGTCTGTGGTATTTTGTTATAGCAGCTTGAATGGACTAAGACACACATCTAAAACTGAACTCTTGATCTTTCCCCTACATCCTTCCAGCTGATAGGCCAAAGACCTAAGAGTAGCCTTTGAGTTTTACCCTCCTTTCATACCTTACATCCTTTAAGATAAACAAATTCTGTTGGTTATACCTTCTAAATGGATCCAGAATCTGACTATTTCTTATCAACTGCAGTGCTACCACTCTGACCCAAGCCACCATCATTTCTCCTTGGATTACTTCCTTAGCCTTCTGTTTTCCCTGCTCCCACTCTCACTTTCACCCTTGTCTTCCCCCATCCCCCATCACCTATGCTTAGCACAACAGGCAGAGTGGTCCCTCCACATCACTTGAAGTAAATACCAAAATCCATATAATGACCCAAAAGGCCTTCTATCAGCTGTCAGCAAACCATAGCCAGAGGCCAAATATGATCAGCTGACTATATTGTAAATAAAGTTTTTCTGGAATACAGCCACACTCATTTGTTACATATTGTCTATGGCTGCTTTCACACTACAACAGCAGAGCACGAGCAGAGACCCTAGGGCCAGCAAAGCCTAAAATATTTACTTTCTGGCCCTTTACAGAAAAAGTTTGCCACCCCTGCCCTACAGGATCTGCCCTCTGCTACCTCTCACTTCAGTTCTGCTCCAGACTTCTTGGCCTTCTTGGTGTTCTCAGACTTGCTAGGCAAGCTCCTACCTCAGGGTACCCTCCCTGCTGCTGTTTCTTCTGTCGACAATCCTCTTCTCTTAAATACCCACTGCTCTCAAACAGCCACTCTTCTCTCAAATACCCACTCCTTCAAGTCTGCTCAAATGTTACCTTTTCACTCAGGCCTTTCCTTACCGCTCCTTCAAATTGTAACTCCCCTCCCCGCCCTCACCATGATGTTCCTGGCTTTATTTCTCTTCAAAGTACTCATCTTTTAATTCTCTACATAATTTATTTTTTGTTTTTTCTCTATCTCGCTCCAGTAGAATGTATTCTCCACGAAGGCAGGGATTTTCCCCCATTCCTCATTCTATTCAAGGCCACATCTTCAGCATCAAGAAGATGATGTGGCATGAGGTAGGCACTCGACACATTTGTTGAGGAATTCCCTATTCATGTCCCTTTTCTCTTGGGTTTGTTCATTTCCACACATATTTGTGGAGTAATTACACGGTGCTGGCCACTGTTGTAGGCTGTGGGAAAGACAACAAACACAGAACACCTGAGCTCAGAAAGCTTACATTCTGGGTCACTTAAGTGGATGCTGGAACATGCTGGTATCAGTGACGAAGAGCTAACTGGCAAACTTGCAGTAATTTTTCAGTTGTTAAACATAGCCGTTATTATAAATTAAATTATATAACCTCACAATTAAACTATGTTAAAAACAAAAGTAATAAACACCCCAAAGTCACCACTCCCTAATTACCTGACTACATTTTATTACTCCTTTGTTCTTGAGGTTTTGCACATCTATGGTATCAAGGAGCCGTCCTCCTCGCTGACTCGCAGGCGCTGGTTAAGTAGCGTCCATGCCTGCATCTTCTCCCACGAGGCCGCTTCCCTATGACACTGAATGCTAATGCTCCCCCAGCAAGCAACTTTCCCACCGCCTGGGGAACGAGGTTCCCTCCGAGTGCACGTGTTGAGGCGACCCGGGCGGTCCGCCTTCTCCAGGTGTGAAGGGAAAGAGGCGCCTGAGCCTCCCGCGAGGACACGGCCAGCCTCGGCCACCCCACATGGAAGGAAGCCTTGCACGTGCAAGGGAGAGGAGATCGATCACTCGAGCCTCCGCTTGCCGAGTCTGTGCGAGCCGAGACGCGGGGATCGGCTGGGAATGCCTGGGCGCGCGGAGCCCGGTGGGAGGCGCGGGGCGGCTGGGCTGGGGTCGCGGGTTGGGGACTGGGCGGCCGGGCTGGCGGGCTTGCGGGCGCGGCGGGGTCGGGAGGGAGGAGAGCGGGTGGCTCCAGGCAGTCGGGCCCGGAAGGAGGGAGAGAGGGCGGTGGGGGTTGTGAGAGGAGGGCGGCGGGGCGGGCGGCCCGGGCTCGGTGGCGAAGCCCCAAGTGCGCATCCCAGGTGCGCGGCTGTGGTCAACCTGAGCCTCGGGGGATCCGTGGCCGAAACTGTAGTGCGGACTCCCGGCGTGTTTACAGATGCCTGCGACCTGGGGCGTTTCTCTGCAGGCCTGTGAGGCAGGAGTGACCCTAGGGGTCGCTTAGAAAGGCATTATTTCTCCCGCAAACCTTACTGATGCAGTGGTGAGGATCTGGAATAGTCAAATTTTACCTTTTTAAAAACAAGATAATTTGAGATCTCAAAGAGGTCTTAGAGATCATCCCTACGAAATCCACCGCCATCATTTTATGGCTAAGGGTCATACTGAGATTGCGTGTAGAGCTGGGAGTGGAGCCTGGGTCTTGTATCCCAAGCCCAGGGTGTTTCCTTATCGCAGGAGATACTGCCATTGCATGTTTTAGAGCTTACTTTTTCCCCCTCTGTTGTTGAATTCCTAAAAATGTTTTTAATCCACATATGTTATATTTTGTAGGAAGAAGAAATTGTCTAAACGAATAACATGAAGTCTAATAGAATCCCGCTGTTTATTATTTCAAGTCAGGGAAGTAAAAGTAAACCATTGCTCTCTTCCCTCGGGGATACCCTGTGTTTTATTACTTGAAACACCTAGTTTTTCTAAGGCTGATGATGTCAGAAGTGAAATCTCCTGTGAAAAAAAAACCTCGTACAAGTTTATCAATCAGCAAAACTAAAAAAAATGAATCTAACTCTATTATTTCGTTTTTTAACAATGCACCACCTGCTAAACTTGCCTGCCCCATTTGTAGTAAAATGGTGCCGAGATATGGCTTAAACCGGCACCTTGATGAAATGTGTGCTAACAATGATGACATGGCTCCAGTTGACTCCGGGCATGCTGGCTTAAAGAATTCAAATGTGCCCACAGTGGATATAACCAATATTGTCTTAGGAGATGTAATACCTAAGAAGTTGTCACCATCAAAGACAAATTTAACCCCTGGCCAAAGTGATTCAGCAAAAATGAGCATAAAACAGCAGACCAGCCCCTACTTTAAAAGTAATGGTGGCTTGGTGTGCAAAAATCAAGATGAGCTGAGACATCATAACGTGAAAGTAATTCCTTTGGGAAGCCTGTCATCGAAATTGTCCAGAAGATACAGAAAGGCTAAAAGATCAATAGATAAGAATGAAGAATTTGCCAGTCAGAGTCCACAGAGTTCCTTATCCACGGTGGGCAGGAGCCTGGTTGATAACTGTTCAGACACTGAGGACAAAGATCAAATTTTGGAGAACAGTTCTCAAAAGGAAAACTTGTTTACCTGTGATTCCCTTAAGGAACAGAGTGCTCCTGAACATACTGTAGAAGGCACTAAAATAATGGAATTGGAAAGCCAAAGGGCTACTCAGGAATGTGGGAGATCAACCCTGACCCCTGCCTTCTCAGATAATGCTCCCGTGTTATTTTCACCAGATTTAACTCTTGGGAATAAATTACAGTCTACTTCAGAGGACAGTCTTGCAAAGCAGGAGAGTATCAAAGGAGTAGACGGTAAAGGTCTTGAAAACTGTGAGGTAGGTAGTTGTGAAGAGGTAAAAATGGCTGTTGCTTCAGAAGCTAAAACACAGTTGTCCGATTGGGAGGCAGAATCTCACACTTCTACATGTGGTGCTACTGAATGGAGTAACATCCAAGACCTTCCTCTGGAAGGTGGCAGTGGCTTAAAGAATGAAATCACTCGCAGAATTCCTTTGGAGCAGGGGTCAAGCTGTGACATTCCTGGTAAAACAGTTCCAGCACCACCAAGTCATCCCTACTACCTTCGGAGTTTCCTCGTGGTGCTGAAAGCCGTGTTTGAGAATGAAGATGATAAGATGCTCTTTGATGAAGATGAGAAGGGAATTGTGACTAAGTTTTATCAATTGTCAGGTATCTTAAGCCTGTTTGCTTTCAAGTTTTTGTTTCCCATTTGCTGTGCTGATTTGGGCCATGGTGTGATGGGCAGTAATCTAATGGCCACAAGGAGTCAGTGTGGTTTTGGGAGTCCTCTGGGAGTCCTCATGGGAATCAGAGCCTACTACAGGGTTCATCTAGAGAAGGATATGCATGTAAAAGAGACAAGATTTTGTGCCTGGTGATGTCTGCTCCTGCATATCATCCTTACCAGCTGGACTTTGGTTATAATGAAAGCAGCTGTTTTTTCTTTGTATATTTGATGGTTGTAAAACAACCTTTTCCAGATTTGAAAAAAAGTGCAGTGTGACTTAGAAAAGTGTGCTTTGCATTTTGACCAAGTAATCAAGCTTACTATTAGGTTGTTTTGTTTTCACAGACCATTTCCTCAAAAATGAAAGTAAAATAGGAGAAAAAAACAAACCAAAGTGTGTTGAGGCATGTTTTTTCCTCCAACAATATTTTAGGTTCCTAGACTCTGCCTTTTAAAGTCAGGGTGTGGAGGAAATGGAAACTTTCAGGCTAAATTGGTACATTTAAAAATATTCGTCCATGCCTCAATTCCTTGGCAGCCAGAGGTGGCTGTAAGCCCATAGTGCAGGTTTGGAACAAAAGCCATCCTTGTCGCGCTGCTAATCCAAAGGGCCATGATGGCCCTATGGAACTGAGTCCCTTCTGAGGTAGGAAAAGCTTACTTCAGAGCCACACTGTCCTCCAGTCATATGTAGCCAGATCTGACTCCTCAGTAGAGTAAAAAAAAAAGATCCTGCACATTACTACTAGTGTTTAAGAGAAGGGTTTTTGTTATAAATTCGCAGAGTAGAATACTATGGTGTTCCTTGTGTTTCTTTTGAACATGGGAGGATACTTCTCTGGGAACAGTTGTATAAAGTATCCACTCAGCTTCCATGTCTCCTCGTGCTATCCTCACCAGAACATGGACTTGGTGACACCACATTGACTCTTCTATCCAGAGTAGTCACGGGTCTTTGGTTGGGTGCCGGTTGCATTCATGCGAACATTTGTGTAGTTGGCTCTGTGCTTTCGTACAATTGAAAACGAGGAAGTTATTTCTTACAACTTTTAAAATTTTGAGTAATCATTACCAACGTTGGAATTTTTTCCTCCTTTTTACACCAGTCACCGAATACCTCATCTTGTTTAATCTTTCCACCAACTTTGGGAAGATGGTGTTATTGCCTCCCCCCACCCCCCGTCCTTCTTCTTTTAACAGAAGAGGAAATGGAGTCTCAGTAAGGTTCAGTGACTTTTACACAATTCAGAAGTGGCACAGCTGGTCCGGGGCTTTCCATCCTGGATGTTCTTCCTGTCCTTTGATGACAGGCATGGGGGGCAAGGAGACATCCCCACAGGGACTTGCTATTTGAAATAAATTACATCTTCCAAAGTAAGAAAAAGATTTTCTTGGAAGATTGGTTGAGTAAGCATATGTCTATTTCTAATAGAGTATATTTTACCCACCTCCGTTTTAAAAAGTAAATGATATTTGTATGTTGTTTTTGAGAAGAAAGATAATATTTTTCACTATTTTTATTGCAGGTAGTGGTCAGAAGTTATACGTAAGACTTTTTCAACGTAAATTCAGCTGGATTAAGATGAATAAATTGGAATATGAAGAGATTGCCTCTGACTTAACACCCGTGATTGGAGAATTGAAGCAAGCAGGCTTTCTGCAGACAGGTATGATTCATCGAAGGAACTGTAAAATGAAAATAACAACATGAAGAATTAAATTTCTGCAGGGTCATGGTGATATTAGTATGATGACATCTCCTGGTTGATGCCTGGGAAATAATAATTGTGTGTCTGCTTTTTAATTGAGTTTTTAATCTTCTTAGGGCAACAAATTATTCATGTGATGTTAAAGCCATTCTTAGCCTGGGTTAAGACTACTAGGATAATGGGAGATTGTTTGCTATTGGTTTTTAGACTGTCACAGGTTTTGGACCATAAAGTCATCTAGGGATAGATATGTGGATGTGTGCCGCAGAAGAAACTCTTCCCTCCTCGGCTCTCTCCTTCCGGCAAGAATTCGAATCATCTTATTCTGATTCCTCATCTTTATGATAGAATAAAGATGGTTTGTGTGAAGCTAATATTGTTTCTGAAAACTTCATCTACCCCCCACATGCACACACATACAGGTATAAGGAGAATGATAGATGTGAGTCTTGAGTTCAAGTTGCTGACAGTTTAGACCGAAATAAGCAAATGAAGCCAAAGCCAGATGGTTTGTGTGTGGAAGAGTGTGTAGTGGAGAGCAGTAAGTGAATGAAGTCAGGGTGAGTGTGGGGGACCTGGAAAGCTGAAGGAGAGGCCTGGAGGCTCAGGGAATGTGAGTGATTAGGCAGTGGGACATGGGGCCCTCTGGAGCACGCCTTCCCACACGTCAGTGCCATCAGGGTCACCTGGGAGCTTATGTTCCCACGTGACTTGGAAGATCTGGTGCAAATTCCATAAGTCTGCCAGCTGACTGCTGCAGGTGAGCCTTGACTTCCCTGTAAATAACCTTTAAGCAACAAACCAGAATCCCCGTCGTTGCCGTTACACTCAGTCAAGTCCAAGTCCTGCCCTTGAGCCTCACAGCCCTGTGGGACCTGGCTCTGGCTGTTTCTCTTGCCCACTGTGCTGCGGTCACACAGCTCACCCCTCATTTCCTGCGGCTGCTCTGTGTCACCTTGGCAGAGGTTTGCCTGAGCACCCCGTGTAAGATACAGTCACCCCCCCTGCATGTTCACTTGGCCTTACCCAGGTTTGGTTTCTTTGTGGCAGTTGTCACCACCTGACATATATACTTATTTATTATGCTAGGAGGTAAGCTCCGTGTAGGCAAGGCCTTGGTGTGTTCATTGTGGTGGCCTTAAGTTGTGAATGCCTTCCGGCAGAGACCAGCCAGGTCTGATTCAGCTAATCCCATGGGTCGAGAACGGTGTGTGGATCCCATACTAGCATGATGTATACATGTAGGTTGAATGAGTGGACCCGTGAAGGAGTTCCCAGCCAGAGGCCTGTGGGGAGAGAGGAAAGCTGATGATCAATTGACTCTCTGACCTCTTTTGGAAGTTTTGTGATTAGAAAGAGTGAGTATACCAGTAAACTTTTAAGGAGGATGCCCAAACCATAATGGCTATCCATATGTGTCTTTATTCGATTTTCCTTTACTTTTTAGTGAGAGGTTCTATTATTTTATAACTTTTATGAGATGTCTATTTTCCATATTTTTTAATAATTGGTGTGGCAAGCTAATTAAGATTTCTACAGTAGAATTTCATTTCATTTGCATCTGACTAAGCTTCCTTCTGCTTAAAGTAAATAAAGCTGGAAAATAATAAAATTCTTTAAAACTATTTTTAACTTTTTTTTTAACCATTTCAGAATCTGAGTTGCAAGAGCTCTCTGAGGTGCTTGAACTACTTTCTGCTCCTGAACTAAAAACCCTGGCAAAGACCTTCCACTTGGTGAATCCCAGTGGACAGAAACAGCAGCTGGTGGATGCCTTTCTTAAATTGGCCAAACAGCCTTCAGTCTGCACTTGGGGCAAGAAGCAGTCTGGAATCCGTGCAGTGATTTTAAAAAGGTTTTGTTGGCTATTACAGTGAAAACATTTAAAATGTTGATAGTACATATTAACTTATTATAATAGATGGTACATGTTTTCTAATTGTAATTGCTTATTTCATTTGCAATTAGATAGAGAAGGCAGAAGAGTCTTAATTACAATAGCCTGGATTCTTTCTTGATTTATTATTCATAATTCATAATTCATACTAATTTCTAGGACCAATAAAAATCAGGAGGCAAGAGAATAAAGGCAATAGGGCTTTAGTAAATTCTAGTATTTTAATATTCAAGAAAAGTGCAGTTTTAACTACTATCCTTACAGGATTTAAGGGTAAACTATTCAGTCAAATTTTTATTTTAGTAACTTTTTATTGCAGTGTAATCTGTCAATCTTAATATGCAACTTTTCTTTCTTTCTTTCTTTCTTTTTTTTTTTGTGAGGTGATCAGCCCTGAGCTAACATCTGCCAATTCTCCTCTTTTTTTTTGCTGAGGAAGACTGGCCCTGGGCTAACATCCATGCCCATCTTCCTCTACTTTATATGGGACGCCGCCACAGCATGGCTTGCCAAGCCATGCGTTGGTGCGTGCCTGGGATCCAAACTGGCGAACCCTGGGCCGCCGCAGCGGAGCGCGTGCACTTAACTGCTTGCGCCACCGGGCCGGCCCTAATATGCAACTTTTCTTGGGTTTAAACATAAAAATTAACCAAAAGCAGTGGGTAGTTTCTTTTGTCCTTGTGAAGCCTTTGAACTGTTTCAGTTTGGGGAAGATTGCAAAAACTTAGAATTTATTTCTTCTGCCCACGTTATCTATAAAATACAACCCTGTCAGCTTTAGTCTGGCAATCCACTGTTCTGGAGTTGTTGAGGGTGATATGTGATGATGCTTTTGAAAACACTTTAAAACCATGTTGTTGTTTATTTTGTATATTATATATGTGTGTGTGTGCATGCATAAACACACACACATACACACACTTGCGTGCACACACAGGTAACTTTCAGCTGTCATGTGCCAAGAGCCCCTCCTCATCAGGAAGATACTACAAATACTAATCTTTAATAAAACATAGGTATAAATGAGACATACATTGTTAAGAAAAATGCTACTACCGACACTTCAAAAAAGTTTATACTGTAGATTTTTAAAATGTTTTAATAAGTTATATATTTATAGTTAATTGACTTTAGGAGTATAAAATCCTCACCCCTGTGGTATGTCAAATGTCTTCTGAGTCCTTTCTTTATCTAATTGTATTTGTTAGGTATTTTATGTTAACCTTATATGTAGCATTACATAAGTAAGTGAACATTAAAATTAGCAGCCACCTCTCAGTATAAGCACTTAGTGTATGAACAGAAATAAAAGAAATAAGATTAACATTTTTTTTCACAGACTTCGGACTTGTAGGAAAATGAGATTCTCAAGACTACTTTAGTTGAACTAAAACCCCTGTCCTTTAAGACTGTACTTTATTCCTTCATTTTGTTGTGGAGCCCAGCAGTGGAATCTCAGAGTCTCTGACAGCCCCATACGAGGGCAGTACCTGGTTATCTTACTCTGCTGTTTTCATGAGGAAACAGAAAAAGGCTCATTATCTAAACTTTCTTAGTCCTAGTACATAGTCATTGTTCATTTTGCCGTGTTTAATGCTTCCTTCTGCAACTCGGAGGCCTGGTCCACTGGGGCATCCCTGGGGCTCTGCATGGAGATGGGGGAAGTGGGCACTTTTTATCAATCTTGGTAGATGAATGGTTCTCAACTAAATAGTGGTGTGATAGGAATCCCACCCCTGTCCCCTTATGTCTTTGATAGTGGCACTAATCTTTCCTCATTCCTGGTGGCCCCCAGGGATGCAGCACTGCTTTTGTTTAATGGCTTCTGGGATGGCTAGGAAAGTGAAACCACTGGGCCCGTGGTTCTCAACTGGGGGCGATTTTGCCCTCCAGGGGACATCTGGCAATGTCTGGAGGCATTTTTGATTGTCATGACTAAGGGCGGGAGTGGTTGCTACTGGCATTTAGTGAGTAGAGGCCAGGGATGCTGCTGAGCATCCTGTAATGCACAAGGCAGCCCCCCCTAGTCCCCAGCAAAGAATCATCCAGCCCAAATGTTGATAGTATTGAGGTTGAGAAACGCTGCTCTAGATGATTTCCAGGTTGTGAGCCGTAGGGTCCATGTGGCCCTGAATTTAATTCAGACCTCCAAGCCCACCTTGAAGTCATCCAGAATCAAACGAAATTCACTCTGAGGTTCCATGGAATGGAGATACACTGGACTGCTTTGCACATCAGAGAACAGCACCAAACCTTGGTGTAAATTCGTACCACTTCCTGGTACAAAACCATGCTGCCTTACCAAGAGCCTTTGATAATGACATTTTACATAAATACCTATTATTGAATCTAAATTGTCACTCCAGTCAAGAAGTGAGCATTGCTGATGTCAAGTAGGGTAATACTTTTTTTGAGTTTTCTTGGTATTTTACATGTTCATGACCACGTCAACCCTATCCTGCTCTTTTATTCAGCCAAACTATGAGTGAAACTGTTTGGAGATAATTTCATTTAATCCTTACTGTGTCCCTAGGTGGGGCTCTGAGCCCCAGAGAGGTTAAGAAATGCTCCAGTGTAATACAGCTGTAAGTGGTAGATTTGTGTCAGGCTTAGAATAATCAATGCCACTTATCTTTATTTTATCTGAAAATAATTTATAAAATATTATATCCAAATGCTTAAAAACCAGAAAGTTATTTCTATATTGTATATTTTTCAGAGCTAAAGACTTAGCGGGACGGTCGCTGAGAGTCTGTAAAGGCCCCCGGGCTGTGTTCTCCCGAATCTTGCTACTGTTTTCATTGACCGACTCGCTGGAAGATGAGGAAGCCGCCTGTGGCGGTCAGGGCCAGCTTTCTGCTGTGCTCTTGGTCAATCTTGGCCGAATGGAGTTTCCTCGGTACACCATCAGTCGGAAAACCCAAGTCTTCCAAGATAGAGATGATCTTATCAGGTAAGATGATGTTAGCTCACTATGACAGCTGTGTATTTTTAAATTTAGGTAAAAGATTTTGTTATTACTTTTTTGCCAGCCACAGTGAAAACATAAGTCCATAGCCAAAACAGTTTTTGACGTTTTTTGTTATCTTTCTGCCTCACTTGTATACATTTCTAAGACTACAGGAGAATGTAGAAATGCGCTTACATTAAGGTTGCCAAAACCAATGAGTTTTGAGTTAGAGCTACAAAAATTTTCCCTGACTCATGTTCCCAAATAGCTTTGGCAGGGAGCACTTTTTAAATACAGACATTTGAACAAGACTGCCTTGTAAATATGTTGTTGGCATGAACAAGGGTGAAGATGAATGTTTTCCTTTTAATAAGGCTTCAGATATAGCTAATGCTAACTTGTGTACTGTAAACAAGAATCAGGAACATGATGGATTAGAAATTTTCACTAATCTGTTTTGGTACATGGATTTAGTGAATGTTTGGTTTGACTGACAAAAGTAGGTTTTGATAAAGAGTGGTATAGGTCTTACAGGAAAAAAAATACTTGGATTTCCTAAAAAAACTCATCTTTTATAAGAAAAATTAATTTGGATTTCCTAAAATGTCGCATTTGATTCTTGATTTAAGGTTTATGACTCAAATTTAACTGAAATTGATTCTGATATTTGATTTTAGCAAAGTTGTGTAAGTGTTGCCTAGTATATGCTTTAAAAAGTAAGTTATTGAAATTATTGAATCAAAGCAGTGTCACTATAAACTGATTTTAGCCCATTTTGCTTTAGTTACCAGGAAGCTCAATATCTCGTCTGTCTTCAATTGGAATCACTTTTTTAGTCAAATCTTCTAATAGGAATATTTCCCCTTACACTGTTTTCAGTTGTCTCATGTCTTTTTACCTTTTCATTTTTAGTGACTTCATGCTTTTCTCTTGTGTGAGAATGTGTACTCTGAAGCCAAGTTCCAGTCTCTGTACTAATGAACTGTGAAACCGCTCTGTGCCTCAGTTTCCTCATCTGTGTGTTCCTACCAATATGTGTTGATAGATGTAAAGTGCTTAGAACCTGGACTATGGGGATTACTTAGTACATCTTAGTTAGTATTATAATTGTCATTATTACTGGTTTATCTAAGGGAGATTACTTTTCAGTTCTATGATTGACAAAACCATGGTTGACAAGTTCAAAAGTAGGGGCCTAGGGAGAAAAAAATAAGCCATCCCATATTCTTTTTAGAAAGTAGGTATGCTGTAAATAATAAAAGTAATTAAAACTCATTTTGTTATGCAAAGGGCCTTAACATGTAAATGAAATTGGACTTAACTGGCGTCAGGAAGGGTAATTATGCAATTCCTGGTAATATGGTACCTGGCCTGAGAACACTTTTTGCCCGGGTCAGTGCTTGGAAACAATGTATCCTTCCTTTTCTTTTCCCACATTTATTCAGTACACTTGAGATGAGTGTCGATTCCCTGTCGTGTGCCTAGTTGGGGGGGTTGCAGTGTGAACAAGACAGGTGTCTGTCTGTTTTCATGGGGTTACATTTTACTGGAGGAGATAGAAAATAAAACAGAATAATTACAGTGTGTGAAAAGTGCTATGCAAATTGAGGGGTAGGCTGGAGAAGTTCTGCTTTGTATATAGAGTGTCAGGCAGAGTGTCCCTGGAGAGGTGACATTTGATTTGAGACTTGAGAATGCGGAGGAGCCAGTCACGCGAAGGTCTGGGTGCCTGCATCTAGGCAGTCTGGGGAGTGCGTGCACAGTCCCTGAGAAGGGAGAGAGCTTGCTGAGTTGGAGAGACTCGGAACGGCTCTGTGGCCGAAGCCCCAGGGGAAGTTAGACAGGAAGACAGGGCCAGGGGTCACTCAGCCTCGGAAGCCCTGGTGAGCAGAGAATTGTGCTCTCTGAGTGATGGGAAGCTGTTGAAGAGGTTTGGGTAGGTGGGTGATCTGTTTCACATTTTACAAAAGCATCCTGTGGATTGGGGTGGAGGGCAGCAAGAAGAGCCACAGGAAGGCTAGTTTAACCTTCGTGGTCCAGGCGAAGGTCTTGACTGGGCTAGGGGCAGCAGCGGTGGAGAGAAGTGAATATGTATGAGGTATTTGGGGAGTAGAAAAAACAAGACTTGATTATGGTTATATACAGGGGAGAAGAAAAGGAATGGATTAGGATGGCTCTAGTGTTCTGACTTGGGTGGTGGTACCATGAAATGGTGGGAGGGATGGCGATGCTGGCTGGGCAATCAGTGTTTGGGATGCCCACTAGCCGTTCAGAGGAAGCTGTCATGAATGGTGCTGGACATGCTGTCAGGAGCTCAGGGAAGAGCTCCCTCTTGGAGGGAGAATTTTGAGTCACGGGCTGATGGATGGTATTTGAAGCTGTGAAACTGGATGAGATCCCTGAGGGAGGAGAGAAGGAAGGAGCATTGGCAGCCAGCATTTAAAGGCCAGAGAGAGGGGAGGAGCAGCCAGGAAAGCAGTAGGAAAATCAGGAGCATGTGTGACTTGGGAGCCTAGAGAAGAAAGTGTCTCAAGGATGAGTAGTCACTTGTCTGTAGTCAGCTAGGAGGTTGAGTAAATGTGGGGCTGGAAAAATGATCCTTAGATTTAGCAACCTGGGCAGGAGCCGCTTCAGAGGAACCTGTGGGGGTGGGTGACGGTGACAACAGAAGCCGTATCTGGAGGAGGGGAGACAGTAAAAACAACTCTCAGGAGGTTTGGCTCTAAAAGGCATCAGAGAAACAGCTGCTGCTGCAGTGGAATGTGAGGGCAAGGCAGTTCTGTGTGTTTTAAAGGTGGGAGATACTAGGGTGTGTGCGCGTGCACTGATAAACCAATAGAAAAGGAGAGGCTGGCAATAAAGGAGGAGGGGACAACCAGAGCGGGGACCCTTGGGAAGACAGGAGGGCCACGGACCTGGAGCACAGAGAGGACAGAGGTGTGGGCAGGGCTGAGCCTGCACTGGGGGGAAGCTGAGAGGGCCCCTCTCGTAGCCTTGGTCCCCTTGTCCCCTCGTCCCCTCAGGAGAGGTCTGATGAGGAAGCTTCCATCAGGGGTGCAGCTGGGAAGGCACAGGTAGGAAGTAGCAGAGTGCACAGGCAGACTTCCAGGGGAGCGGGGCTGGACGGAGGTGCGAGAGTAAGTGCTCATTTGAAATCTGGTCTCGAATTAAAGTGAAACAGTCCACTTGGCCTGTTATTTTCTTCAGCACAATTGAGGGAACTAGGTACAGGCTGTAAGGTCAGCATGGACACCATGACTAGGGGGTCCAGATGAACAGTGCGTGTTCACCTGTGAGTGGTGGGCTGTTGACTCCGGGTGGGGTACGGAGGCCTGCAGGACAGGAGGTGCTTATGGCTGGGGAAGGGGGGGTCATGGTGGGGGCAAGTGTGTCAGGTAGGGGTCTTGGTGAAGTTGGGGAATTGTTACCTTCAGTAAATGAGCTGAAAGGATTGGTGGTCAGTGAATGAAATGCTTGAAATCAAGATTTTGAGGGTGATGCAGTTCATCGGAGACAGAAGGTTCTGAGTGGCCATGGGCATAATGGGTAGCTGAAGAGAGGTGGAGAAAGGGGTTATTGGTGAGGAGGTCTCGAAACTGAGTGTGCTCTTCATCCTCACAGATGTTGAAGTCATGGGCCATGATGGTGGGGGCCATCGTGGTGAGAGACAGGAGGTGGAGCAAGGCAGAAGATGACAGAAGGCTGGCAGATGCCTGCAAGGAGGAACATGAGCTTCCAAGGAATGGGGGGCTTTCCAGGAGGGAAGAATGATTTGGAAGTAGCCATGGGAAGAGAAGACTCCTCCATTGGTCCCAGCCCTGAGTGGGAGGGCTGTGAGAAGAGCCATCCCCCACTTGAGAGGGCTGCGGGGGAAGCCATGTCCTCAGCCAGGTTTTAGAGAAGGCGGGAGACAGAGGGTGGAGGGAAGAGGTCGAGGCTGTGGAAGAAGAGGCTGTTCCTGGTCTGGCAGTTCCAGGCAGTGCTGGGGAAAGGTTTGGTGAGATAAGGGCTGGTAACCATGGCTGGTGGTGATAGAGGTAGGTGGGGAGATGAGGCATGGTGGGGTTGGTCTCGATGGCCTCTCGAAGGTGGAGCTTGGTTCAAGCGGCGAAGCGGGGTGCGTGGGGGCCGCTCCTGACACTCCTGACTGTGGGATGGGCTGGGGTGGGGAGGCAGGGCCAGCCTCCAGGCACTTTCTCCCTGCTGTATCCTCTTTTCTTATTGACCTTAGAATTGTCCAGTAGCGTATTATAAGAGAATTAGATCGAGAGTTTGTGAGCAAATTTTTCTGTTTAGAGGCAATTTCTTTCCCTCTTATTTGCTAGTATTTGCACGTACTGATATTGCATGCTTTTCTTTCCAATGTGAGTCCAAAATACAATGACTATGTACTCAAAGTGTTACAGAATCAGTTGGGCAAACATCTCTGTTTTTTGGTATCTAAAGATGCAGTGAGAAGTTGTCTTTCTTCAGCTAAGTGGTTCTATGGCATTTCAGCATTGCTGTCTCCCAGAGTGTCCCTGAAGTTATTTTTGAAAATCCAAAGTAATTCTGTTAGCTTGAGCAGCATCCCTCTGGCTACCTCTGACTAAATGATTAAGTTACAAAATCTACACCTTAATATAATTCTGACGTCAGTAACTTGTTTACCTGGCTGCTGCCAGATTGTTGAATGAATGAATGGATGAGTACCAAAAATTGGAAATGATAAGCTGATCAATATTACATTTGTATAAGCTGATCAATATTACATTTGTACAACAGAACCTGTTATGTGATAATACAGTGTGAATGTTTTTATCTTTCTAGTTGGGTAGTCTGTATTAGTTCTTCTAGGCCACTCCAGTGGAATAATACGTTAAATTATTACTAGAATAAAATTTAAATAACCCTCATATTTTATTTTATTTTATTATTATTATTTTTTTTTGTGAGGAAGATCAGCCCTGAGCTAACATCCATGCTAATCCTCCTCTTTTTGCTGAGGAAGACTGGCTTTGAGCTAACATCTATTGCCAATCCTCCTCCTTTGTTTTCCCCCCAAAGCCCCAGTAGATAGTTGTATGTCATAGTTGCACATCCTTCTAGTTGCTGTATGTGGGATGCGGCCTCAGCATGGCCGGAGAAGCAGTGCGTCGGTGTGCACCTGGGATCCGAACCCCGGGCCGCCAGTAGCAGAGCACGTGCACTTAACCACTAAGCCACGGAGCCGGCCCTAAATAACCCTCATATTTTAAAAAATGCACTTTGACCCTTCGGAATTAGGTCTAGTGGGTAGGATGTGGTAATTTTTTTATATACACGCTCATTCACATTTGAAGCTTGGATGGCGTGGTTTTCTTTGCCAGATATGCAGCAGCTGCGCACATGCTGAGTGACATTTCTACCGCAATGGCCAATGGGAACTGGAAAGAAGCTAAAGAGCTCTCTCAGTGTGCAAAAAGGGATTGGAACAAGCTGAAAAACCACCCTTCCCTGAGGTGAGGTGTTTTTCTTTAGGTACCTGTCAAAATGTGCTTATTGGCCAAGTTGTTCCAACCACATAAGGTAATTTTCTTCATGAAGAACATACACCTTTTGTTCCGTGGAGTTGAATTTCCGACTTGCTTTGCATGGAGTCAAGGTGCTGTGTGAAACAGGAGAAATGTTGGAAAGTTTGAAATGAATTTTGCGTAACTCAGACCCCTGTGCAACAGACATTCAGGTGAACACACGTGCAGCTTTGAGCTTGCAGTCTTTGGGTGTGCTGGTTTCTCTGAGGATTGCTCAGCTGCATTTAAATGTGGCGGAAACCCAGCAGCAGGACAGAAGTTGTGGGAGGCGTGCTAGATGTGTTCTTCAATGGAAATTCAACTAGGTGTTATTCTGAAAAAGAAAACTAAATTGAAGACTTACTTCAGAAGTTCAAGTACACAGCACATGATCTTTCATTGTTTTTGTTTGATAAATGTTAAACTTACTTCGTATTTGTAAGGAAATTTTTTCCTTTATTGTTACATAGTGATGAGAAAAATTAGTGTTATTAAATGTCTCTTTTAAAAAAACTTCTAGGACATAAAGTTCATGCAGAAATAATATTGACTTAGAAACCATAGCCAAGAAAATGGCCTTTACTGTTAAGAAAAAAATAACTGAATACTTTGCCCATATTTTGTTTGGGAGGATTTTGTAATTCTGACAGAAAATTGAGCCATTTACTTAAAGGCCTTTCTAGAAATGAGATAACCAATGTAGACTTGTTACCCTTGTGGTGTGCATGTACATTGGAGGATTTTCTTAAGATAATTTAGGAAAATTTAAGATTTCTCAGACCAAACAGCAAAACAAATGGTTAAAACAAGTTAATAGATGATTTTCTTCATTAAAAAAAAGAAAAGAAGTCTTTACCAGGAAGTTAGATTGCTGTAGAACAGAGCTTGGTAGACTTCTGTAGAAGGCCAGCCAGTCAGTCTTTTAGGCTTTGCGGGTCACATGGTCTCTGTTGCAGCTACTTAGCTCCGCCATTGTGGTGCAAAAGCAGCCGCAGGCGGAACGTGAAGGAGTGAGCGGTGCTGTGTTCCAATACAACTTCATTTATGGACATTGAAATAAGGGTTTCATGTAATTTTCACATGCCACAGACGATGCTCCTCTTGGTTTATTTTAACCATTTAAAAATGTGAAAACCATGCTTAGTTTGCAGGACATACAAAATCAGGTGGCGGGCCCGTGGTTTGGCCTGAGGGCTGTGGTTTGCTGGCTTCCAGCTTAGAATGTTACCAGTTGTTCTCATTTTACTCTACTGTCTAAGTGACCTAGGAAATGCTGGCTGGCTGTAAGGATGGGGGGTTGTGGTGTAGAAAAGTGTACACATCTGACGGTATTTAGAATATAGCTTTTTAAAAGATAGGAATTCAGTCTGCTTTGTCACTTATAATTGTCTTCCAACAAATAAACCAGATGACTAAACTGCTGGTGTACATCTTCATTTTAGATACCATGAGAATCTACCGCTCTTTCTGCGGTGTTTTACCGTCGGGTGGGTTTATACGAGGATTTTGTCTCGGACTGTTGAAATATTGCAGAGACTTCACATGTATGAGGTGAGAGCACAAGCCCCCGGCCCCCGCTCTTACTGATGTGTCTGTGATGAGCTGTGGAGGACTGCTGCCTGGCTCCCGACGTTTTCCACGTATTTGGTCAGCACACAGTAATGAAATGAAAGCATGCTTCATGTGGGCAGCCTCCTGTCTGCTGGGTTGTAGGGAGATGGCCGAAGACCACCAACTGTTACTTCTGCTCATGAGTCTGCGAGTGTGCACCAGGATGCCCTGGGGGTCATGGGCGGAGCCCTGGGGGTCATGGACAGAGCCCTGCAGGGAGCCCCAGACAGATCCTGCAGCTAGACCTGAGCCTCTTTCAGAACTCCGTGTGGGATCTGGGAGGTCTCCAGAAGTCTCTGTGGTGGAAACTGCACATCTGCTTGTGTTTCCCTGACAGCTGTCCTGGACTGCTAGAAGTAATTTACAACCACAAATCAGAAATTTGGTAGTATCCTTCCTTAACCTAAACATTGTGAGATTGCGACAGTTAACTTCTGTTATGTTTGATGTTTCTGTATTGAAAAATGATGTTTTACAAAGAGGAAATGCTGAAGCTGGGCTTCTTGACCTGGGTCCATGAATCCCAAGAGGATCCATGGGATGAACTTCCGGAGTCGGTGAACTCCACAATTGTGTGTATATGGGGGTTTGTGCATTTTTCTGAGGACAATCAGATATTTCACAAAATCCATGAACCGCAAACGATTGACATAAAAAATCACCAGTTTGTGTGTAAATCTAGACCAGAAAGTCTCCCTATTGAGGTGGGATGCTTGGATGAAGACACCCCTTGTAACTGTCCTGCCCTCACCAAATTCCTCACACTGTGGGCCCCGTGACCTGCTGGGTTCTTAGAAGTATATGGGTCTGCAGCCCCTGACCAGTGCTTGGCTGCCTAGAACTTGAGCCTGTGCGGCTGTGTGCTGGTTGACTTGGTGTGCAGAGAATATCATGCAGTGTTCACAGACCTCCATACGCTCGCTGGTTGGCAGGGGACCTGCGGGATGCCTTGGAGCTCAGGCCCCGCCTAGAGGGACGTTTCAGTCCCTGTCTGTCAGTCCAGGGTCCTTGGCCTTACTTGAGAAAGGAATGATATGCTTTATAAATATACTTTGCCAGTCTTATTGGCTACTAAATATCATGACAGTTTTTTGGTGTGTGTGAGTCTAATGAGCTTCCTTTGTTGTTGTTGCAACAGGAAGCAGTCAAGGAACTTGAAGACCTTTTGTCCCAGAAGGTGTACTGTCCTGACAGCAGAGGCCGGTGGTGGGACAGACTGGCTCTCAACTTGCACCAGCACTTGAAACGCCTCGAACCGGTACTCAGTGACTAGATATACCTGAGCCTTTTTTTTTGACTTTTGCGTAAATTTAAAAAATATGGCAAACTGTTAATGCCTTAAAAATCTGAATGTAATTTGAACATTTATTTTTTTAGCGTTCTTCTTTTGTCTGCGTTCTTCCAACCCCAAAAGAAGTAACAGGGACGTTAACCCAAGCATTACAATGAAGACAGGAGACTTTTGGCTTCTCTTCACTGATTTGGGAGATGGGTTGGCAGGGGGATCTGCTTGGGGTTTAGGAATTAAGATCTTGGGAGAGTTAGACACCTCTACCCTCAGCAGGTGCTTTCAAGGAAGGTGCATTTTGTTTTGGAAATGGTGATTTTATTAACTTTTTGCATGGGGCCTCCAGGTAGGAAGATTGATGGAAGGTGTTCCTTTCCGTTGGGAAATGTGTTGTGTGACTGACACTGAGTAGGCCCCCTTCTCTTCTGAGCTCTGGTATTCTCTGTGGCGGGTTCTTGGGAGTCAAAAGATCCTGTCAGCCGCCTTGGCAGAGCAGGGTGGTGCCACCGAAGGCTGCTGCTGCTGAGCCCAGCAACAACAGTGGCTCTTTGTGTGGCTGCCCGAGGTTCCACCTGTCTCCATGCCAGCTTTGCATTTGTGTTGAATGGAGGGGACTGTGCCTCTGGGAGCTTTTGTTTTTTCCAGTGGCACATTAAGTGAATCAGGGTGATGTAGGGGCGGAAAAATTGACCACAGGTGTGGAAATATGACATGCTGTTTTTCCTGCCCGAAGCTGAAAAAGTGCCTTGTTACCTAAAGTGCTTCAAGCCAGTGAAAGCTGTTTTCTCTCTTGGAGGCGGGTGTGGTGCTCCCTTAACCGCTTGGTGTTTGAAATAGTGAGAGAAGGCGTCTCTTAGCCCATAACCAAACGTGGAGAATGGTGGTTTACGTTGCCTCTTTCTTTCAATGAAATAAAGATTCAAAAGAGTTTACAGGTTTCCGCCTTGTTCACAGTGCTGCTAGTAGGAGCACTCACTTCTGTTCACAGAGATAAACAAGCCACTGAGCTTATTTTTGAGATTGGTGGAAAATCATAGTCCCTTTTAGCCTATTCCCAAAGATCTTGTGGGCCACACTCATCATCTTTATTATTTTGTTACCATTCCTTACGTTCTTTACATCAGTCTCCAGTGAAGGAATCCACCAGCAGAGTGCTGCTTTCTGCAAAGTGCCTGGTAGCCGGTCAGGCCAGGCAGAGGTGGAAGGGCCCGGCCATCCCCTCCCCAAGGCCAGGCCCCCACCGGCACCAGCCCCGGCCCCTGCTGGGTTAATAGCACGCTTCAGTATCTCATTCTCTCTTCTTGATTCCTTTCGACTACTCCACTCCTGATGGCCTGATCCTTCATTAATTTTAAGCGTATTTTTTTAAACTTTTTATTCTTTTATTTTAGTGAAATGTGTATAACATAAATAAAACTTGCCATTTTAACAATCTTTAGGTGTACAGTTCAGTGGCATTAATTATACTCACTATGTTGTGCCAGCATCACCACCATCTATTTCCAAAATTTTTTGTCACTCCAGAGGCTCTGCACCCATGAAGCAATAACTTCTCATTCCCTCCTCCCCCTGCTGCTAGTAACCTCTAATCTACTTTCTGTTTTTATGAATTTGCCTGTCCTAGATATTTCGTGTAAGTAGAATCATATATAATATTTGTCCTTTTGTGCCTGGCATATTTCACTTAGCATAATGTCCTCAAGGTTCATCCATGTTGTAGCAGGTATCAGAATTTCCTTCCTTTTCAAGGCTGAATAATATTCCATTGTATGGATGGACCATAGTTTTATTTATTGGTTCATCTGTTGATGGACACTTGGGTTGTTTCCACCTTTTGGCTATTGTGAATAATGGTGCTGTGAACATGGGTGTACAAATATCTGTTTGAAACTCTGCTTTCATTTCTTTTAGATGTATACCCAGAAGTGGAATTGCTGGGTCATATGATGATTCTGTGTTTAGCTTTCGGAGGAACTGCCAAACTGTTTTTCAGTGTTTGAATCATTTTTACATCCCTGCCAGCTTAGCATGAGGGTTCCAGTTTCTCCCACATCCTTGCCAACACTTACTATTTTCCATTTTTCTGAGTATAGTCACCCAGTAGGTGTGAAGTGGTATCCTACTGTGGCTTTTGGTATTTTTGTTTGTTTATTTGTCTGAATAGCCTTAGGAAATGCATTTAACTCCTCCAAACCTAAGGTTCTTCTCCCTATGAACGAGGAATTTGGACCAGCTCTGTGGTTCCTGACTATATGTGAGACTCGCCTGGGAGCTCTGAAACAGTCAGACACCTGTGCCCCTGGCCTGGAGGTGCTCACTCTGTGGGTTGGGGTGGGGACATGTCTTCTTTCAGAGCTCCCTGGGTGATGCCCTGAGGGCCACTGAGCCAGGACTTTCTCTCCAGTCTCCCCCAGCCCACCATCCAGGGGCGCCTCTGGCTTTCTTGGTCTCTGAGGGTGTGGCAGCTGATACCTGCCGCGTCTGCACGGATCACCGGGAGGCAGTGTCAGGAGCACGGCGGCTAGTGCTCCCGATGTCTGTCGTCAGGGATTACGAGTCATCTGTGTGTTCTGAGTATCAGAATGACTTCTGAGGAGACATCCTTGATCTCTGGAAGTACTGCTTTGCCTATTTGCTAATTAGCACAATTGAATAATTAATTCACAGTGGGGTTTCCCGTTGCACTAAATTAATGGATGCTGCCATGGGGTCTTTCGGGACGTCGATGTGGGACCATCTTCTTTGCTAGGCTATCAAGTGCATCGCAGAAGGGCTGGCTGACCCAGAAGTAAGAACGGGACATCGTCTTTCACTGTATCAGAGAGCCCTGCGCCTGAGGGAGTCTCCGAGCTGCCGGAAGTACAGGCGCCTCCTCCATCAGCTCCCGGAAATAACTGTGGAAGATGTCACACACGTGAGTGAATATCCTTTGGGCACTTTGTTTAAATCTATTTACTGGATTTTTTTCCTGATTAGAAGCAGCCCAAGAACAGTTTTTAGTGTGCATGTTCTCTTAGACTTAGAAAAATGTACCGCTCATTTTGGACACTGACTTGGCCGTTGCTCCCTGTTTTCACACCAGTGCCTCCCACGTCGGAAGGCTGGGCTGGCTGGGGTGTGGGTTGCTCACACCCTGGGTTCAGTGACTTTGTCTAAGACTCCTGAGTCAGAAGCTCACAGCCTTTGCCAGTTTCACCTGCTTGGTCAGGGGGCCTGGAGAGCAGCTCCGGGGGCCACATGCTCCCCGGGGGCTGGGGCATTGACCTGTCTGCGTCCTTGCAGGTGCCAGAGTGTGGGTCATATGGCCACGCGCTCCTCTAGGAACAGGTGGCTTTGGGGGGCCTAGGAAAATGCGTCCTCAGGACACCAAAGTCAGGTTTGCAGGGACTGTAGCTGAAGTGGGGCTAATCGACGTTCTCCTGCTGCCATCCCAGGTGACCATCACGGGCCGGCTGTGCCCGCAGCGGGGGATGGGCAAGTCTGTGTTTGTGATGGAGGCCGAGGGGGCCACCGCCCCCGCCACAGTCCTGTGCTCCGTGGAGGAGCTGGCGCTGGCCTATTACAGACGCGGCGGCTTCGACCAGGGTAATGTGCAGCATTTCTCCCAGCCCATTAGTCACCATGTGATGGGCAGCATTGCTACATGGTTTGTCAGCAGTGGGTGGCTGTCGTCTCTCCATCCTCTGCCCCCAGTGGAAGACACTGCTGACCTGGAGCGTGTGGACGAGGATTTCACTAACTTCTGGTTGTTAAAGGCCCTCTTCGGTTCAGCCAGTATCCCCCACCTGACGCCTGTGAGGAACAGTACTCTGGTGGGACGTTAGAAGTGAGGGAGGCTGGTGTTGCTCTCAGAGTTTATGAGGCAGAGGAGGATACGAAGGGGCAGAGGACCCACAGAGATGCTGCCTGATAACCAAACCTGTGAGAGGAGACAAGCTGGGGAGCTGGGCCCAGGCCGCTTCTGAAAGGAGTGAGCAGGCCTCGTAGGTAACGACTTTAAGGGGATTGAAGGACCATATCCTGGGACAACAGCACCAGTGGAACCAGAGAAGTTGCTAGAAAGAGCAGTGATTTGAATTCCTTGTGAAATGAGCTGTCTTGATCCCATGTGAGGGAGGAGGATGAAAGTAAGAATCTGAGCTTTTCCTCTCTCCGTTCCAAGAAATACGTGGCGGTCGCCCTGTTCCTCCTGCTGCACCCGTCTTTTTGGTGCATCTCCTGGGAACTGAGAGACCTCAAAGTAGAATGGTGGCACTTGTGATGGAAATGAAATCAGTGAGAGAGAAACACCACTTACTCCCACTGAACTGAGCTTCTCCGCTGCCTTTCACTTTCTTTGGTTCTTTCTTATCAGTGGGAGAGGAGAGAAGCGTGTGTGTGTGGGCATGTGTGTGTGTGGTCTGGAGCCTCTGGTGCTCGAGTGTGACTTTGTGCTCTGTGCGCCGCTGCTGAGGTGCTTTTCGTTTCTCTAGGTCCACAGTGCTGTGGGACCAGGGTCAGGGTTGCCTCCAGTGCTCTTTTTTCTGGGTTAGTTGGCATCCTCTTCATTTTGGATTTTGTAGGTTTCATTCAGAGGCTGTTTTCTGAAATGTGTAGATCCCAAGTTAGAATTAATTTTGCCAGGTTCCAAGAATGGGAGCTGAGAGCTGGAAGCCCAGAGCTCCTAGCGGCTGTTGCAGGGTAGAAAGGAGGGCTGTTGAAGGCACCTGGCGTCTCTGCTGCTTGGGCTGTAAATGCACAATAATGAGAGACCACTGTGGCACGCAAATGAGCTTAGAATCTAAGAAATTTAATAGGCAAGGCCTAGGGATGCTGCACGCCAGCTCTGATGGGCCTGGACCCTAAATCCTGTCCCTCCTTTCCTCTCAGAACCCATTGTCCCCCTGTGTCCTCTCTGAGAGAGCTGGGAGCTGACGTCCAGTCCCCCTGCTTTCCGCCCGACCCATGTGCTGTCCTCAGGGGGTCGGTGCTTCAGAGTGTGACACACAGTCTCCTGAGGTCTGGGTTCTGCTCCTCGGAGGGGGACCTGTCGCTGGGAGGGAGCTGGTGGCATCTGTGTGCATGACCTGCATGTGTGACTGAGGAGGTCTCAGAGAGGAATGCACAGGGGAGATTGCAAAGTCCATATTTGGGCCTTGGGACTAGGCCGTTTGAGAAAAACCTGACACACACAGGAGTGAGCCTCCAGCACACTCCCCAGCATGGTTGTTGCGAGGCCTTCTGTGCCCAGGCAGTGGCCGGTTTTGGTTGGAGGTGTTAGCACCCTCGCAGAGGTACTTCTTCTTATCCATGGAGACAGTTGAGAGAGGGTGCCCCTCTGGGAGGGTCCGTTAGCCTGTGGCTGTGCCCCCCAATCTACACTAACCGTGTTGTGGGGCGACCCTTCATGTGCAGGGTGTGTGTTGGTGCTTGTTAGTGAAAGTGCTCTGGGCGTCTCTTGTCACTGTATAAGCCTTGTGACCGTAATAGCAGCAAAGAGTTTTTTTTTTTTTTTTAATAATTTACTTATTTCTTAGGTCTGTTGGAAACTGTTTATGTTTGTGTATTTATCCGCATCAGTATCTCTTCCCCTCTTTTATTCTTTCTTTGATTTTGGTCTCGGAGAATGACTGAGACCAAGTTGGCAGTCTTTGTCCTTAGTGGAGTGTAGTACTGAATAGCAACAGTCAGATTAACACTGTGAGAGGGGAGTTGCAGCAGAGGAGGCTCCCCGCTCAGAGATGAGGAGGAGGGCGGGGCAGTTATCCTGGAGATCCGCAGGGGCCTGGCTCTAGTCTTGTTTTCTTTTTTAAAACTTTTTTATGGAAGACACTGAACATACCTTTGTATAGAAGTGGGGAGGTATGATGATCTCCACGTACCTACCCAGCTTCCTTCAGTCTTCCCTCCATCCTACCTCTCCCCGGTTTTGGAGACAGACACCAGAGGTTGGCTCATGTGGTCACTCCCGGGGTAGGGGCATCAAGTCCATCCTCATGTCCCCGAGGACTCCGCCTGTGCCCATGCTGAAGGGTTACTAGGATGAAAAACACTCTGTATCTTCAAATACGTGAAAATCAGGACAGTATTTCACTTCACTATTGTGTAAGTGTTCGGAAGATTGATGAGGACCATAAGACAACAGCTACAAGACAGGATTTTATAAAATATGGGTAATTTCTGATGAGTGTGACAGATAACAGTTAAGATTAATCCACGTGATTATCTTTATTACTTGCAGGGCAGGGCGATGCTATTGGGGCAGAAGTGCAAACTCCAGTGAAGACAAAGATTCGATAGATCTGAAAGGTTAGAGATAAAAGAACAGAATGAGAATTCAGCCTCCAGATAGGCCGTAGGAGACATGTAAACTGGGCGGTTGAGGGAGGAGGGAACAGGCATGGGGTACATGGCGGGCAGGCTGCAAGCCGAGCACAGTGAAGTGCTTTCAGTTTAGCCATGAGCCTGGAAAACAGACAACTCCAATTCTAGAATATAAAATATTTTTTATATAAAATAGTTTTTTAATTTATTAAAATTGATGCAGTGAAAATGAGAACTGTTCCTGTCAGTCTTTATTCTACAGGAGACTTGATATAAGGGCAATCTCAAACCCCCTTCAGAGAAGTTTATTTCTGAGTTACTCAGAAGGATCTCACCAAAAATGATTTCAGGGGCCAGCTTGGTGGCCTAGTGGTTAAGTTCTCGGTGCTCTGCTTTGGTGGCTCAGGGTTCACAGGTTAGAATCCCTGGCATGGACCTATGCACCGCTCATCAAGCCATGCTGAGGCGGCATCCCACGTACGAAATAGAGGAAGATGGGCACAGATGTTAGCTCAGGGCTAATCTTCCTCAGCAAAAAGAGGAAGATTGGCAATGGATGTTAGCTCAGGGCCCGTCTTACTCACGAAAAAAAAAACCCCAAGAAAAGATTTCACTTACAATGAAATGCATGGTGCAGACCGCTTGGGAGTTCAGGATTTCTGACCCCCAGTGTTCCTGAGTGGCCAGTGTACACACCCGGACAGAAGGCAGGCTGGAAATCAAGTCCCAGCTTTCCCCCTGGCTGGGCAGAGCCCGGGATCCCAGTGCAAAGCTTTCTGGTAAAAGTTAGAGGACTTGGCTTCAGCCAGGAGGCCTGAGTGAGTCCTGTTGTTCCTGCTGCTGAATCGTGGAGATGGCTGCAGGGACGAGGGGCTCGAACTGAGGGGGGGACAGAAAGAGCTCTGCACAGCTGGAGCAGGGCAGAACAGGGGACCCAGCAACGCCACTGCTGACAGAGGCTCTGGTCTCTGTCCCGAGTGTACTTTCGTACGGGACATGTGTGTGGCTGGCTGGTCTCTGTTCGCCTCGTCCTGTGCTGCACCATGACCTTGCACGATGGAACGGGGCCCACCAGCCAGAGGAGCTCTTCTGCCATACTGGAGAATGTGTTCCAGCCCGTCAGGAGTAGATTGTGGAGTCAGCCCCTCCTTTGGCCCAGGCAGTAATCCAGGGAGAGAGGCGTCCACACAGCCACTTACTGGGCAGCTGTGGGGAAGTGCAGAGGAGGGCATGCTCTGGGAGACAGGGCTGTGTGCTGTGCCAAGGCCAAGCCCGTCGTCACCCTCCAGACTCTGCTCTGGCATTGTATGGCCTGGGGCACGTGAGTGACCTCTGGGGTCGTCTCCCAATTAGTGCAGTTTGTGTGTGGTGTGAGGTCTGAACCAGGTGGTCTCTGAGGTAGAAGGTTTCTGTAAAAGCCCTGATCTTAGAAATATCAGGCACACTTGTTTAGGCCAAAGCAGTGGAGTGCTGGTCAAATGAGGTGAATGAAGACGGCACCTGCTGGATCAGAGGATGCAGGCACCCGGGATGCCCAGCCTCCTTGACAGATCCTTCCAGAAAACCTCTTTCAAGTGAGGCTGAGGGCCTCCTGCACCAGATCACCTTGTGGGATTCTGTGCCCACCCAGACCCACCGAATTGAACCCCAGAACCTGAGGAAGGAATCTGTTTTTATTAATTCATTTTAAAACATGTTCCTTAGGTTTTTCACTAAAGTTTGAGAACCATTGTTTTGTGGCTTTCAAATGTGCGCTTGAACTTTCCCATTACTATGATTTTTGCCCTTAAATGAGGCTTCTGTATATAAACAATATGATGTAAAAATGTGAGCTAGAAAAGGCACGAAAACAGCATTTGCTTTTGAATCTAAAATAGTTCTATTGTTTCCTTCAAACTGAGTAGGCAGTAGGTTATGGTAGATGTTTTTAACAAATAGAAAAAACTGATTTTTCTTTCTTGTGTGACTTTGTCTTAGGGATTCATGGGGAAGGATCCACCTTTAGCACACTCTATGGCCTCCTGCTGTGGGACATAATCTTCATGGACGGGATTCCAGATGTCTTCAGAAACGCCTACCAGGTAATCGTTACATTAAACCAAGTCTATGCTTTTTAGGGGAGCAGACACTTCTGCACTTTCGGGTTCATGCCCACCCGTGTGCCATGTCTGCAGCCATTGGAATCCTGCCTCTTGTGACTGTGTTTTGGATCATGGTGCTAATTCCACTGTAAGGTTAGCTTTAATTTTAAAATCTGATTCATAGAATTTAAAATGTAAGTTACATTAAGTTTTAAACTTCAAGCGGAATTTACCTTCAACATTCCATTTGAAACTTTCAGGGTAAGTTTCTTCAGCTTCAACCTTTGTAAGCAGCTGTCGGGGCCAGCACTGTGCCCAGCGCTCTCACATGCGGGGTCACAGGTGCCCACTACCACTTCCACTGATTTCTCCTAGAGCTTTTTTCGCAAATTATTACTCTAAAAACCAGTGTAATAAATTGCTTTTATATTAGATTACTTAGATAATTTTTGCATATCTTTTGAGAAAAAGAATGTGTCAATTCAGTCAAATTGGCCAATTTCCAAAATTTATTGGTACTGAATAGTCTTCTAATGAGTCGGTTCTCTCCAGGCCCAGTGTGAGAGCTTGTTTTCCCTGCAACACAGGCACTTCCACTGGACTTGTGCACAGACAGCTTCTTTGAAAGCAGGCGGCAGGCCATTGAGGCCAGGCTGCAGCTGATTCACAGTGCCCCGGCGGAGACCCTGCGAGCCTGGGTGGCAGCCGCGTGGCAGGCCCAGGAAGGCAGAGTGGCTTCCATTGTCAGCTGGGATCGCTTCTCTTCTCTTCAGCAGGCTCAGGTGAAAACCTGCATGCAAGATTTGATCAGAAAGTAACAGCCCCGCATCCCCCAACACTGGGTGTCTTTTTGGCAACTGTATCGAGATACACACGCACATACGGATGTTTATATATGTGTGTGTCAGTATGCATGCATGTGTGTGTGTATATATATATGTGTATGTGTGCGTGCACGTGTGCATGTATAAATATGATAATGCCTCAGCTCAGATGCCACTGTTATTGACAGGAACATGTCAGGGCATAAAACAACCCCCAGTTATGCCTTCCCTCCCCTTAGTTGACGGCTTTCCTTTCCTGACCTATGGCCCCCGGCAGGGAGGCAGCTGTCCCTGTTCGTGTGACTGCTGGCCTCTTCGAGTCATCACTGTCATATTCTTGAGTGCTTACTCCAAATTCTGTCTTCCTCAGCTGCTCCCCAGGATTTTCCCTCCTGGGCAGAAGTATGATAACTGACCAAAGGAAAACTGGTTTCCTGAGCTTGCCGGTGGGAATTTTAGCCAGTAGCTCTGGAGCCCCACCACAAGCAGCAGGAAAGCACCTGGTGTCCTTGGAATCCATTTCTGTTGAATGACCCCCTGAGTTTTCCCCGTCCCGTGATCACTGGAAGCATTTCAGGGTCCCTGTCATGAGGGAGTGGCTGACCATGTATTTTGTGTTCAGGATCTTGTTTCCTGCTTGGGAGGCCCTGTCCTCAGTGGTGTGTGCAGGCGCCTGGCTGTGGACTTTCGACATTGCCGAGGGGGCCTCCCCGACCTGGTGGTGTGGAACTCTCAAAATCATCGTTTTAAGGTCAGTTGAGCCACATTGGAAAGTCACATTTGTAATTTTATGAGCAACTTAATCAAAGGCCACAATCCTGGCATTTGTTGCGTGGTTGTTGGCAAGATTGCATCCCTTGAGAGCTGTTGGATTGGGGGCCAGGGTTCCTCGGTGGCTGTGGGTGGAGGCTCCTCAGGCCCTTGCGTGTGGGCCTCTTCACTAAGTGGCTCCTACATGGCAGCTTGTTTCATCGGAGCAGGTGAGTGAGAAGAGCGAGCGTGAGCAAGACGGAAGTCACAGTCTCTTGTAACCTGATCTTGGATGTGACATTCCATCGCTTTTGCTGCATTCTACTCTTAGACGTCACTGGGTCCATCCCACACTCAGAGGGAGGGAATTCTGCAGGGTGTGCCCACCAGGAGGCCAGGATGATTGGAGCTATTTTCCAAGCTCCCCGAGAGTGAGCACCCCCTCACGCATTATACGCTGGGCATCTCCCTTGCCTCACCCTGCTGCCTGTCACAGGTTGGTTGTTTTCTTATTAACAGACAGTTTTGAGATTGAAAAAATAAAATTCTGGATACAAGTCCTTTATCAGATATATATTTCATCCCAGTCTGTGGCTTGTCTTTTCATTTTCTTAATAGTGTCTTTTGAAGAGCAGAAGTTTTAAATTTGGACAAAGTCCAACTTATCTGTTCTTTAATGGATCATGCTTTTGGTGTCATATGACATCTCTGACTATAATTTTGGATTTGGGTATTTCTCCTTGTAGTTCTGTCAACATTTGCTCCATATATTTTGAAACTCTATTATTAGATGTATAAACTTTTAGGATTGTAATGTCCTCTTGATGAATCGACCTCTTTATCATTATGAAATGACCTTCCTTTATTCCTTTATTCTTTGCTCTGAAATTGACTGATATTATTAATACATGGCCACTCCCAGCATTCTTTTCATTAGTGGTAACGTGATGCATTTTCCATTCTTTTAACTTATTTTCTCTGTATATTTAATATGAGGTTCTTGTAGGCAGCATTTAGTTGGGTCTTTTTAATCTAATTTGACAACCTCTGCCTTTTAACTGAGTGTTTGGAACATTTACGTTTAATGTGATTATTGATGTTTGGCTTTAAACCTACCATCTTTATATTTGTTTTCTGTTTTTCTCAGCTTTCTTTTGTTCCCCCTTTCCCTGTTTTTTCTGTCTTTTTTTTTAAGATTGCATTTTATCCCTTTGCTGGCTTGTTAGCTGTAACTCTTTGTTTTTAAGTAGTTGCATCAGTGTTTACAGTGTATATCTTAAACTTATTATTTACCTTCATGTGATGTTATACCCTTCTATGTATAGTATCAAGAACCTTACAACATATATTTTTATATCTCCTCTCCCAGCCTTTGTGCTGTGTTCATACATTATACTTCTATGTGTTATAAACTCCACATTATCTTCGCTTTCACAGCTGATTAACGAGAGTCTTTGTATTTACTCACATAGGTGCTAATTCCAGTGCTTGTTTTTTTTTTTTTTTTAAAACATTATTTATTGCTAAGTCTAAAACACTCAAACACCACAGCACAGTGATTGCCAAATCTAAATTAGAGTTTGTGGGATTTTTAAAAGTTTCTCTTCAGGGGAACATTTCAGCTCTATGGAGAGGTGTGATACGTAAGAAGAGGGAACATCTAGATGGAGACCGATTTGCCTATGAGCCTGAACCAAGTGGACCCATATGGATAGCTTTTATAAAATCATAAACAGTAAAGCTGAACAAAACTCTAGGCTCAGACTGCTTTATGGCATCAATAATTAAACTGGACTTACTGCACTCATGGGGTTATTGCAAATTCTGACTAAACTGAAAGAATTTTCAAATAATCTAATTATTCCCTTATTTATTCGTTATCCAAAGCGTTTTTTTGTTTCTCTGCTTTAATTAGATGTTTAAAACTTCACAGCTATTCAGACACTTTGTTTAAATGCCCATAGACAAGACAACTCACATGTATTCCTTTCATGAGAAAGAAAAGAAACAGTGAGACAGACATCAAAGTCCCAGAGACAGAATAGGAATAGCAAAATGAAAGACTAGAATTAATGCATTGTTTTTACCCTGGTAAAATACAGATAAGGTAAAATTTACCATTTTAACTATTTTTTTTTTTTTGGCTTTAATCCTGTTTCTTCATTTCTTTTTTTCTTTTTTTTCCCCTAATTTTTTGTTTATTGCAGTAACATTGGTTTACAACATTGTAAAAATTTAAGGTGTACATCACTACACCTCCACTTCTACACAGATTACATCATGTTCACCACTAAAACACCAACTACAACCCATCACCACACACCTGTACCTAACCATCCCCTTCACCTCCCTCCCTCCCCCCCTCCCCCCCGGCAACCACCAATCTCTGTCCTTATGTGTTTATTGTTGTTATTATCTACTACTTAATGAAGGAAATGATATGGTATTTGACCTTCTCCCTCTGACTTATTTCACTTTGCATTATACCCTCAATGTCCATCCATGTTGTCACAAATGGCTGGATTTCATCGTTTC